GCCCCATTTGTAAAAGTTGAATATCCGGAGGGGGACAGCCAGAGCATAAACAGAACGACGTCGGCAGTTGATGGATACCATTGCTGTGCACATAGGTCAAAACACAATGCCCATTGAGGGTTGTCACCAGTGGATCGGGAAGCTCATTCTCATTGTAGAGACCATCCCCATCATCCTCCGAAGAATCTTCCAAATCACTGTCATTATCTTCGCCATCCCACGGAGTATGTTCCAGAACTTCCATAAAGTCCGCCGAGGTTCCAGGATCCTTTTCGTCATGGCATCCATCGTCATCATATGAGTCCCAGGTTTGTCCCGGACATGGCTGGCCATTGTGGCCAAGGTAGATTACTGTCCCAACTTTCCACAACCAGGATGGGGAAAAATAAGCTCCAGTCCAAGTTTCAACTCTATGAAAAGGATGCAGTCGATGATCAATTCTGAAGCAATGTAAGCATTGAATGACATTGCCCAGACAATCCTGGCACTTCCAAGTACCCTCCCGAACATTGCAACTGGCACAGAGTTTACCAGGAGGGGGGGCTTCTCTGGCTAGAATCTCGTCTAGATAAATCATTCTACGACCCTCCCATTCTTGTAGATAGTCATTGGTCGACTAAACGTCCCATGTTAGATGAATCGACTAAGGGAGATGAATTTTACCTTTGTCCACATGTCTAGCATACTTTCTGTGTCCATGTATGTGATGTCTGCAGTCATATCCGAGGTCATAGATGGTTGATTATTTCTTTCTGACGACGTCCTTTCCATATATTCTGATGAAGACTGGACATCTCTTGAGACGGATGTTGTTTCAGCTGGAAAGATCGTTTTCCCTTTAACGGATCCCCTCCGTCCCGGAGCATATTCAACATGTTTCAATGATCCAATAACTCTGGAACGACGAGAACTCATGACAGTCTTTGGAAGATGGAGTTTGCAACTGTTATATCCGCCTCATGTGCAACCTCATGTTCAGACATCCGCATGTCTACAGGGTACTTGTAAAAATAAATTCAAGGACAAAAAACTATATTTCGTTGTCTTTGGGCACGAACCAGTCATGCAATATACAAGATATCTCTGTTATCGTCTATTTTTAGAGCATACCTGAGGGGGCGGAGTTGCCATATATGGCATAAACACTGACATATATGGAAAACATAAATGGTCCGCCTCTGTTTGGCGCCCATGGATTTCCCGCCTCTATTTGGTGCCCAGTCATTTCGCTAACAATGTCAACTTAAACAGAAAAAAAAACGGAAACAGTTTTGTTATCCCCATACTAATCCCTACATTTCCAAAAACCATGAACAATCAAACCGACAACCGTGAAAGTCCGGACATCGAAGCAGCAGTGCCAGAAACCACCGAACATGTGGCCCCCGCGCCTTACGTCTGGCAACAATGGCAGGTCGAAATCCTAGAAAGGAACTTGCCATCATATAAAACGACAAAACAGGGCATTCAGTAGATACCCAATGGGACCATAGTAGTTCACATGGTCAATTGTCCAATGTACCATAGGGCTACCCCAATGGGCCCAATCGTAGTTGGCACCATTTGGGCATAGTTTGGCCCAATGTCTGTGAGACGTTGAGCTGGCATTGTTGGGGCCAAGGTAACAAAACTATGAGAAGCATAATTGGGCCCAATGAGGGATACACAAAAAGAATTGGGCCCATGATAAACTCCCAACAGCCAAGGTTGGGCCCAATATTCCAATGGTATTAATTAGGCTATACTGCATTGTTGGGCCCAATATGTAATTAGGCTATATAGCATTGTTGGGCCCAATGCTCGGTGTAACAAATGCCGAATCCGGCGGAACCATAACCCTAGCCCTGGTAATCCCTGTCTAGCCGAAATCCAGTCGGATGACATCGCCTCCAGCACAAAATGGGATACACTTTGCAAATACCGTCAGTAGCACACAGGTAGGCCATAAATCAATATTTCCATATCAGCCTAGAATCCTGTTAATCAGTTGAATTCATTTCGGGTAATAGATAATAGCCGGACGGGGATCCTCTAGAGT